TTAAGGGTCTACAGGGTGTTCAGGGTCTCAGTACTAAATCATACTCATAGTGATCCACCTGTTTACAGCCTCCCAAGAACTGGGATTACAGGCATGTACCACCACCCCCAGTCTCAATTGCCATCTCAGTGCACCCTGCAGGCAGGGCCACACAGCAGGCCTGTCACCATTGTTTTTGATCCTAACAACTTGTTTATGAGCCTCTCTCAAGTTGTACTTTTTTGGGGGGGGTGGCAAAGACTAGTACCAGAATTAAATGAGAATAGCACATGTGCTTCAGAAGTTAAAACCAGCATACATAAATCAGGCTTACAGAACATGCTCTTCACCTACAGGATGGACTGCCTGTGCAAATGAAACTGTTATCACTGCTCCCAGGCTTAATCAGTTATGGTTTATCTAGCTGTCCTCCATAGCCTGTCATGGGGCAGGCTTCTAAGAGTTTATGATTCATGGTGCAATGCTGGGATGAGTGTGAGTGCTACACCTGCCCTGGGGCAGGCAGCCTACATACAATAGATGAGAAGGAAAGAGGCTTGCTGTTGTGCTCCTCCCTTTTTTGGTCAATTTTTGCTGTTTTTATGCACCCACAAACTGTTGCCCTCGCCCTCTGCCATGCGCCACTCTGCTTTGGAGCCAGCCCAGTAAGGACTGAAACCTTTTTATTTTTTGCAGAACCGGGGATTGAACTCAGGCCCTTGCACTTGCCAGGGAAGTGCTTATTCCACTGAGCCATCTCCCCAGCCCCCGGGACTGAAACCTCTTACAACTGAGCTAAACAAACCTTTCCTTAATTTTCAGGATTAGGTATTTTGTCTCAGCTACAAGACAAACACAAAGCATGGGACAATTCATTTTTTAAATACTGCTGCTTCATCTTCATAACCTGAGGTAGTAAGCAGGCTCTCTCTGTGCTAGATGAGGAACGGAGGCCTAAGATTCCAACTGCTAAACCCGAGCTAGCCTCTGACCTCCAGACCTGACCTCCAAAGCCCATGCCCTTGACTATCTACTTGCTGCTTAGCATGACCTCCACCATCCACCTTCTCAACTGAGGCTTTCAATTCAGCCCCTCCACAGACCTTGCCCTTTCACACTGCTTCCTATCAATTTATGAACTTCAGAGCTCTAGATCAAATTCAAGCTCCTGAAACTTATCAGCTTACCTAGTGTTTTCCCTGAATCTTTCTTGTATTTACACCGTTACTGTTCTGCCACTGTGGTATGACTTAGGTATCACTATCAGAACATACTAAGCACTCAAGGAACTGCTCAGTACAGTTGTCCATCTGTACTCCTTACACACAGGCACTAAGTCTCCCTGACTTGCACTCTCAGCACCAATACAATACCTGACCCATAGTTAATGCTCTTACATATAAATGTGTTTATTAAACTGCAAACTCTCAGAAAGCAGATTCCTTAATGAATGTTGGTCATCTTCAATGGCAGTAATTCCTAGCACAGGCTGTTTCTGCTTCTGTTGCTAAGGTGTTAATAAGTTTTAAGACAAACTAGTGATTCACAGATATATTTATTTTTTGGTTTTTTTTGAGACAGAGTCTCACAATGTAGTTCAGCCTGGCCTTGAACTCACTAGTAGTCCAGGTTGGCCTCAAATTGGCAGCAATCTTCCTGTCTCAGCCTCCCCAGGGCTGGGATTACAGGTGTGCGCCACTACGCCCGGTATTCTGAAGATTTATTTAAGGAAGAAAACACAGTCATCACAGTCATCAGATTTAATATGAGATATGATAGGATTGTTCCACTTTTCCTTCCTGGATCAGCTTTTCCTTCTTATCCTGTAAAGACAGAAAAACAGCAGATAAAACACAATGCCTTATAGCACAACCACAGTACAGCTCTAAATAGACACTAAGAAAATGTTCCTACTTAAAACTACTTACATTCTAGTAACTGGAAATAAATTACCTATTAAAAAGCATACATTGAAAACCAAATGCAAACACCTTCTGGGAAAGTGTGGCCAATTTATCATACAAGCAAAGACAGCAATTCTGACAAGAGAGTAGACTGGCCATCTAAAGACCAAGACAGATGAGAGTGCTCCAATCCAGATGGCAGCAGCAGACTGGGGCTGGGGCTGAGCTTTGAACAGAGGCCGAGCGGCCTAGTGCTGAGACAGGCCTGTTTCTCTGCAGTCATTCAAGGCTTCTGGCAGAGGCGATTTCCAGCCCAGCTGCTCTTGTTTCTTTACTGTTTATCAAGACATTTTGACATTAATTCACAAAATGTGACCACTATACCCAGAATTCATGCAAAGAAGGAACATGAAAATAATTTACATATTTTGCTAATATGTGAGACAAACATCTCTTTTCAAAACAAATGAAAAGCTAAAAATTTTGCAGAGAAATGTAAAGGTTCATCATAATAGAACAGTTTAGCTCCTATGTATCTTTTTCTTTTTTTAATGTATTTAGTACAGGGTCTACAGGGTCTCACTACACAGATCCGTCTTGTAGTGATTCTTTGTTTTTCAGGCTCCTGAGTGCTGGGATTACAGGTATGTATCACCACGCCCAGGCTCAATCACAGTCTCCGCCCACCCTGGGGGCAGGGCCAGCATGGTAGGGCACGGATGGAACCCCAGGTCCCTGCAGCTGCCTAAGCAGACACTTTAATCTGCTAAGCTATCTGGCTGGCCCCAGTTTCTATGTATCTTCTAATGAGAAAAAAAAGTAACTTAATAATCGCTGTCTGACTTCCTTACATTATTTTTAAAACATTTACCAGGAAAACTCATGAGCTAAGCTCATCTTAGACATTTAAAATGACAAAACAAACACCCCATCTCAAACACAGAGAAAAAGAGAGAGGGTGAGGGAGAAATGGGTGCGGGATATTAAAAGAGACTAAGTGTAAAGCCAGACTATTCTGAACACTCCCAATGTCATCTGAAAGACAAACTGACCCTCAAGGCAGAACCAGGACTAAGATGGGCAGGGAGCCTCACGGCAGTTATCAAAATAAAAAGCTGCATCTGGCACCTACCCAGGAAGCCTATCACACCAAGACTAAGACTAATACTTACCCTACTAGTTTTGAAAACATAATACCAGAAGAGGAGGGGCCCAAGTCCACCCACAAGTCCTATCAGCGAGTTTTTGGGAGTGGGTCTGAAATTGGGATAGACATTAGCTGATCTTGCATAGGTCCAACGAAGCAAAGCAGGATCTTCCTACAATTAATGAAAACAGTTAACTTAAGAAGGGTCATTTTTGGAAACAAATTTATCAGAACTTCTATGCAGCTTCCTAAGGCAACCGCTCAGGTCCCCCTTCTGTCCCTCTCTTGAACAGGAGCTTTCTTTCCCCCAATATTCTGCCTTAAAAGAACTTCTATGAAGGACCAGAGAAGAAAGAAGACTTTATTATGTACAACAGTTAAGGGTATTCCCTGCATATTTTAAAGTTTTAGGAAAGATCTTTCATTTCTAATATTAATAAATCCTTCAGAATTTAAGTCTTCTCATCCTTCAGCTTTCTATTTAAGATTTAAGAATTCCAAAACTTTCTTAAGCCATCAGAGAAGCCACCTTTCCTCATCTATTCCTCTGTGGACTGTTTATACCTTCCTTAAAGTATGACCACCAGAAAGCACACAGTAGTCTCAGCAAGGATTTGAGATCTCATAAGCTCTATCAAATTTGTATTGTTTCCTATTTGTTTATTTAATTTCTGAGACAGGGTCTCACTATGTAGTTCAGGTGGCCTCATAAACTCCCGGTGATCCTCCTGTCTCAACCTTCTGAGTGCTAAGATCACAGGTGTATATCACAATGCCTTGTTGTTTTTTTTTTTTGTTTTTGTTTTTGTTTTTTTACTGAGGATTGAATCCATGGCCTTCTACTGAGCTACATACCCAGTCCTTATTTTATTTCTGGACAGGGTCTTGCTGTGCTGCTAAATTACCCAGGCTGGGCTCAAACTTGTGATTCTCCTGCCTCAGCCTCTGGGACTACCAGCATGCACCAAGACACAATTTCTGGGACCTTTTCTAATGGGCTGAGAAATAAAAATGTGGGGTTCACACCTCAGATCTTCCTGATCCACTCCACCCCCTTCATGTCATCCAGCACATCAAACCTGATCATGTGCATACGTACGTAATGGTTGTGTGAGGTAAAAAAGGTTCTAGCTGGACAGCAAAGTAGGTAACAGCAAATACTGTGGCCCACCATACAGATCAGAGCTCAAATTCAGCTCTATGATTTGCTAATGAGTGTATCTGTATGATCTATGTCCTGCCCATATTGTATTCTCATCTAGAAAATGGAGCAATGGAGCTTCATTCTTTCAAGAGTTGTGACATTTGAGTAAAAACACTCAGGGCTTAGCAAATGTCAGGCACATTGTAATACTTCAGTCTTTATTATATGCAAAGCTTCCTAGAAAAAACTGTTGGTTAGTCTTTTTAAAAAATATCTGATCTGAGATACTTAGCTTTTGCACAGAAAACTATCAAAAAACACACTTGTTAAACAGTAACTTACTGGGCTTTTACTATCTGCTGGGAATGTCACTATTTCATTTAATTTCACAATTAATGGGCATATTTAAAACTATGACTTTGAGTGGTCAAGTTGTGCAAGTTCATAGTTTGCCAATACGTTGCCAATACGTTGCAATTAAAACTTGCAACCAGCGGCTGGGTCGTTAACAAAAACAAACAAATAAAAAAGGAACCATCACTATATTCCCACCAGCTGAATAGTATCTCTAAGAGTTGTGAACAGAAAAGTATAAAATTTTTTTTTTCTTTCATTATACATATTATTCTAAGGCACAGACGCTTCTGAACACGCCGGTTACAAGCCTGGACCTGTGCTAGTCCAGGGACATGTCTTAGACTCACAAGATGAAAGTACTAGATTGTGCCCATTTTTCAGATAGGAAAACGCGGGCTAGGCAGAGTCAGACAACTTTCTCAAAACCGGCCGTAAGGAGGAGTTCCAGGCTGGGCTCAAACCGGGTAAGAGCTGCGTCCAGAAACCATTCTCGACTGGTAGTTCTCTGAGCAAGGTCAAAGGGCCGAAAGGACCCGTGCTCCGGCGCTGGGACCCTGGGCGCGCGCGGCCCGCCGTGGAGGAGGCATTCCGGCGGGGGACCGCAGCCTCCGGCCCTCGCATCCCGCCCGGCCCACCCCCCACTCACTATGAGCGTTCGGCGTTTGGGGTCGTTGTACTGAAGTAGATATTCTCGTTTGAGCCGGGCTCTTATGGCCAAGCGCTCGGCTTGCGCCTTCCGGGTTTCCGCAGATATGTCGTATTCGGCCGGGTCGAGGGTAGAGGGAAGAGTAGCCAGGCGAGCCGGCTTATACTTCGGGAACGCCATCTTGCGTCCCCCCAACTCACAACTGCGCGTGCGCGAGGCCAGACCTGGCCCCGCCCCTTCTATCCTCCGACCTTCAGCCTGAAGAAGTGCGCTTGCGCGTTAGCCGGAAGTCGGGTGACTGGCGTGGAGTCTGAAAGAGAGCCCGGCTCCCTTAACCTTTCTCGGTCGGCAGGTGCTTCAGTGGTGATCTGCGCATGCGCGGCGTGCTTTCCCAGCCCCCTCTTGATTTCCGCACCCGACGGTCTGGGGCCATTTCTTTGCGCTAGTTATTTCACAAGCTCGAACCCTGAGATATTCTGTTTTCTAAAGGCCTCGTTTTCACTGTAGGTCTATCCAGACGGCATGACCTTGGACAGGCCATTTGATGTTTCTGCGTTTCCTTTTCTTTGTACTGTAGATAATAACTTCCGTGTAGCAAACTTTTGAAGATTAAATAAGCTAATGAACAAATGCCCAAAAGCACCTTGCAAATCTTGCAAGCACCCTTATGCAAATCCTGCAAGCACCCTTATGCAAAACAGAAAAGAATTTTCTGTACCCAACTGCGTTGAGTCCATACCATGTAAGTGTAAGCTTTTCATAGGCATGAAATAATGTAGACTATTACAAGTGTTGCCTGACTAGTAGCTCAAGGGAAAAGTGATATGAAATAAAGCTCATGAAGAAATAGTATGTTAAAATGTTTAAAAAAAAAAAAAAAAAAAGTCTTTCCTAAAGTCCTTAGCATGCTTCATTCAGGTGCTAAAAATGAAAAACGTGCTACAGATGGGAAAACACAAAGAGGCATTGGATCTTATGGTAAAAGATGATTGAGGGATTAGCTGGGCTTTGAAGCAGACTCCTTGCATACTGAAATACAGCAGGGGGGGGGAGAGAGAGAGAGAGAGA